CTGTGAACCAACAGTGTTTCTTGTTTTAAACTGCTTAACTTTTGATGATTTGTTATACACCGTAGAAAATTAATACAGGCTTAATATCTAATACAGGCTTAATATCTCTCAGTACCTTTGTTGGTCCTCTGGGGATTATCATGTTAGCCTAATAGATGCCCACAGATTAACTTTTTGTTTGTGAGTGCCTGGGCCATTAAAGAAGGAGGGAAGTTGTTTTGGTTTTGATTAGGTAGGAACTGTTACTCAAGTGCCGTTAAACAAGACTGGCTCCTTCAAACCAATCATTCGCCTTGACTCTCCATCAGTATTGCTTAAACCACTCACAAAAAAGAAAAAGGATATGCATTCGCCATACATGTAGACAAAGGCAGTATTCTTTCATGACATGAGACTTCATCTTTGCAGCTTTCTGCGGACTGTCTCAGAGTGTTGACTTTGAAGGGACAACTAGAAAGGGGCCTGTTCTGCTCTGTTCTGTTAAAAGGACTGCCTCCCATATTGTGCTAAATGCTGATGAGCAGAATTTGCTTCTAGGGAATGCATTTAATAAAGTTTATAGACATTTGCATTTCACTGAAAACCTAGAGAATGACTACTATTGTATCATTATCTAAATCATCATCAGTAAAAAGTAAAGTTTGCGTTTGCTGACCACATAATACAAGAGTAAGAGAAACCTCAGGAGTGAAGGAATACTGGAGGCTGCCACTTAGCGTTGCGAATGGCCTCCTAAGTGGTGATGAGAGTAAGGGCCTTACTTTGCAGCTGCCAGAGCAGTGGCACTTGTAGCAGTGACACATTAGTAATTGTGTGTAAACCAAATACTTATATTAGATTTAGGGAGTGGAAATTCTCTGACTCTTATAACAGTTCACCCCAACTCATGTATTAACAAAGAAAATATTTTGTATTTTATGAACTACATAATTTTAGGTGATCTAATTTGAAAGTGAATACGACCTTGAGTTTTTCAGATCTTACTGGTATTTAGAGTAAAATATATAAATTGGATAAGTATTTAAAACTAATTAGGTACCATTTTTCCTTTGGAAGTTTTTATAGTGAATCAGTGATTTGAATACTTATCAAATGATTGGAAGCTTATGTTTGTAGAAGCTCAAGATATCATTTAGAATCCATTTCTCTTTGGACAGGAGAAGTATCAGTTACAGAATGTTAATGGCAAGTCATTGTAATTGTTATGGAAGATAAATATATGCAGTTTGTAGTTTGGATTTTGTTTACATAAAAAGCTATTTTACATTAATATAAGTGTTTTCATTTGAGTTTAAAGATTGTCTTCTGCAAATCTCTTAATAAAATTTCTGTATTCATTTTTTGATTCAAATATGTAATTGCAGGAAGGAAGTGAGTGCAAGGATAAGTAACCTTCATTTTCATTTTTCAGGTGACTTTTCACTGCATTTGAACAAAACTTGCCAAACCAACAACACTGTCCCTTAGCTGACATACAGTGTCACAACCTGTGTCTCCTGTCAATTTTTTAATGTATTTTATTTTAGTTAACATTAATTTTAATTGTTGTTTTAGAAAAAATTAACCCGCTGGTCCTATTTTTTTCCTTTCAGTTTTTTTAAATTTTAAAACCTAACATACTTAAAATATGTAAAACAAATACAGGCTAATTTGGGTTACTTAATTGTATCCACTGCCTGAATAAGAGACAAAACATTGCTAGCACCTTAGAAGTACCCTTTATGCGGCCCTCCCTGGTGGCGTAGCGGGTTAAAGCACAACACTGAGAATCTAAAGCCGCTTCCGCATGAGTTCGATTCCCGCCTGCCCCGGAGGTGACCACATGACGTGGCAGACCCCTCCTGACCCGCCCGCTGCTCCCCTTAGCAGTGTATTTTGTCGATCTGCCTGTTCTGCTCCCCACTCTGTCTCTGGTGAAGCCTCTCACCACCCCTGAGCCTCTGGCCTGTACCCCAGTTCTGTATGCACAAATAAATAAATCTTTAAAAAAAAAAAAAAAAGTACCCTTTATGCTCACTTTATGTTGAGAGCTGTTTTCTTCAGTCCTGCAATGTAGTCACTATATCTAACTTCTTAGATTTCTTTTATAATTTTGTCATCAGACCCATTAAGTAATATAATTTAATTTTGCGTGTTTAATTAAATATGTACCATGTATGGGACAAAAGTACGTGAGCTTATTAGTGGTGATCTAATAGTAAAAATGTGTTTTGTACCTAACCATTAGTTTCACTCAGAAAGTAGAGAATAATGAGAGCTAAATAAAGGATTCATTAAGACCTTCTTGTCTCATAATTTTAGATAGCCTTTCCCCTATTGATAGTCATATAAATTGTTTTTCTAGCATTTTGCTTTATGATGATCAATAAAACTTAACTTTGCACACATGTAGGGATATTTTTAAGAAAAACTTCCTTGAAATGGAGTTACTGTGTGTGAGGAGATAGGTTTTTTATTTTAACATATTTACTGAAGGGAATATTAAATATTATATCGCCATATATGTGGACTTAACGGTAGTAATGTAAAATATGATGAGTGTGTTACTTTTTTCTCTTTTCAAAAGAAAACCAATTTGTTCCCTATTTTGTCTTTAGTTTGATTTATGGAGGGAAAAAAAACTATGTTTATCAGTCATAAAATAACATGAATAGGATATAAGGCATTGAGTCATAGAATTCCAGAAATCTCACACACTTAAATGACTCACTTTGTATGTGTGCTGATGTGTGATTTATCCTGTGCAATAGATATATTTCTCAATTTGAAGAGGTCTGATCATATTTAAATACTCTAGGGAAATTTACTGTGTTGATGAACAACACTGAAAAACACGGATCCTTTATTGAAATGACGAAGACTCAGCTTTGAATAAAACCTGATAGAGTGATTTTGCATTAGCTTTTTTAGTAACTATTTGTTGAGTAATTTCTGTGCCAAGTTTTATTTGCTGGAGCATATAATCAAATAAAAAAAACATGGTCTTATGGAGATTGTGGTTAAAAAGATTTGTCACTAAACAAATCAGTTAGCTACTATATTGGCATCCTCTTACTGGAGCACCTGTCACTATTAATAGGACAAAAAAAAGTACATCACAAGTATATGAAAATTATAAAGAAGCCTATGAAGAGACTAGTGATAACATGTTAGACTCATCTTTATACTATATCTGTACTATATTTAAGCTGCATTTGGACTTCCCATAGTTTTTTTTTTTTTTTTTAAAGATTTATTTATTTGTGCATACAGAACTGGGGTACAGGCCAGAGGCTCAGGAGCGGTGAGAGGCTTCACCAGAGACAGAGCGGGGAACAGAACAGGCAGACTGACGAAGTACACTGCTGAGGGGAGCAGCGGGCGGGTCAGGAGAGGTCTGCCACACCATGTGGTCACCTCCTGGGCAGGCGGGAATCGAACTCATGTGGAAGCGGCTTTAGATTCTCAGTGCTGCGCTTTAACCCGGTGCGCCACCAGGGAGGGCCCCCATAAATAGTTTTAGCCCCTTTTTTCACTGCCATTTTTCTTCCTTATTCTCAGTGGTCTAATTATCCTTTCTTAGAGTACTTCAGGGCATTGCCAAAACAGAAAATTATTACAAAGTGAAGTAGATGTTTTCATGTTTTTAAATCTTAAATACCTTACTGGTATACTAATAAGTTGAAGACCTCAAACTACAATACTTAATTTAAAATTAATTTCTCTTAATAATAAGACTGGGAGTTGGTGGGGCAACTTTCTTCTCCAAGATCTTGACAGTCTTCTAAGATACTGACCTACCCCTGCATAGTCAAAGCTGGCTCAGTTTTGCAAACTTGTACCTATTTCTACTCACCTGTTGTTGGGCCACACTAAGTAACAGAAGTTCAAGGCTGGTTTGGAGTGTATTCTCTTGTTAAGTGGATAACTAACCCGCTAAAACTTTATTCCCTATAGACAAGGGGGAACACAATTAGCAGTGTTATAAAAATATATGTAAAAATTTGATTTAAATTTCTAAATAAATTCCTTATTTTTCTGAGTAGCTTTCTCAGATGCTGCTAAATCAGCAATACTGTATTCTAACTTTAGCTGAAGTGTAAATATAAATTAAACATCCCTGAGTGTGTGTTTCTCAAATTGGAGAACCTTCTTAGATGTAGTTCCCTCTTCCTGGAGGAAGATTTGGGTGACTGGGTTTTTTGTTTGCTTTTTTTGTTTGTTTGTTTTTTTTGCTATTTCAAAAGATAATATATTTTAGAGCCAAAAACAGTATTGTCGAGAATTTTTTTTAAAGATTTATTTATTCATACAAAACTGGGGTACAGGCCAGAGATACAGAGGGGGGTGAGAGGGGTCACCAGAGACAGAGCGGGGAGCAGAACAGGCAGATTGACGAAGTCCACTGCTGAGGGGAGCATCGGGTGGGTCAGGAGAGGTCTGCCGCGCCATGTGGTCACCTCTGGGGCAGGCGGGGATCAAACTCATGCGGAAGTGGCTTCAGCTTCTTAGCGCAGTGCTTTAACCCACTGCGCCACCAGGGAGGGCCCAATATTGTCAGGAATTTTAAGAAAAAACTTAAAAATATTTTAAACAATAATTTCAAATTTTAGAGATAATTTTCTCTTACTATGTGGAATTTTTGATAAGCAACCTCTTGGTTGATAAAGGTTTGTTGTGTTTGTTTAATTAGGTAGTTCTAAACTGTAAAATTGTGAAAATATATTGGAGAGTTAGTTGCTATGAAATTTGCCTGCATATGTCAGCAGCATGGGCATTTTTAAACAATCTAAGAAGCTATGTCTTATCTTAGTTTTTAATTTTATTCTTTACTTTATTCTTTACTTTAAGGATAGATTTAATTTAGACTTTTCTTTTATCCTGTCAGTGAGAACTACATTCTAGACTAGAGTTGCGGAAGTAATAAGTTGGTAGTGTGTAATGCTTTCTTTCTGCTTTAAAGTACATTAAAATTGACTTTATATTAAAACTTATTTTCTACCTTTTCCTTCTTATGATAGGACAATGAAAAGAGAACTCCACTGCACGCTGCTGCCTATCTTGGAGATGCAGAAATCATTGAACTGCTTATTTTATCTGGTATGGTAAGCTCTGTACATTACACATCATGAATATGTTTCTCATAATTTTTATCAAATGTAATTAGCTATTCATATTTGCTTAACTAAAATTTAGTCTACAGATGTTAATTATGGGTCAGAGTCTGTTAGGGAACTTAGAGAACAAACGAAGGTAAATGTTAGTCACTTATGTTAGAAAGTGATATATGCTATGAAAAATAAAAACATCAGGATAATGGAGTGGGATGAGCATTTTATAGGATACGGCATGGTATGGTATAGAATATCCACAGTACACTCTTAAACCATAGAAGTTAATCAGAGACAATTAAGTTTCAAAGTGGAGGTTATGGTGGTTCAGACCAAAGGCAATAGTGAAAGGGGGTAAGAGATGGTATTATTGTAGCTATATTTTGAAGGTGATGCCAGTAGTTTCTGTCTTAAAATAGCATTTATCTAATTCTGTTTGAGTGCCTACAAAAATACTTTTTAGGAAATTCTACTAAATTGTTAACTTCTTTTAATACTGTTTAAAACTTAACAGTATATAGAAAGTGATTTTTACAGATTTATTGTAGTCATACTGTCCATAGTCCTAACTTAAGCAAACAGAATTAGAAATATTTTTGTTGTAGGGGCCTCCCTGGTGGCTCATGATGTTAAAATGCAGCACTATGAACTGTCTACAGCCACTGCAGCATAAATTTGCTCCCTGGCCCGGGAGGTGACCCATATAGCGTGGCAGGCCCTCTCTTGTCTCACCCACTGCTCCCCTCAGCAGTTTGCTTCGTCAATCTGCCTGTTCTGCTCCCCACCCTGACTCTGAGTCCTCTCACTACCCCTGCACCTCTGGCCTGTACCCCAGTTCTGTATGCATAAATAAATAATAAATCTTAAAAAAAAATGGAATACAGTTCCAAGTAGTTTAATGGCAGGATTTGGGGTAAGAATTCTGCTGCACCTTTTTTTTTTTTTTTTAAATTACATGGTATTTATTCTATTCATTGATTTTCATTTTTGACATAAAGATTATGTGGTTCAACATGGAGGAAACTTTTTCCCATTTTGACTTTTATACTAAGGAGATGCTTTACAAATGTTCAATTTGACTTAATCTATTCATTTAAAATGAACGTTTGCATCAACGAGTTTTAGTTGCTTCTGGAAGAATGACTAACAAATGACTTTGTTAGTGTGGTAGGTGAGCCTTATGAGTATAATGGTATCAGATGTCAGCTTTGAAATAAGATAATTACTAATTCAAGTAAAAATCACTTATAAAATTAAGGATCACACATATATAAAAAAGCTATTTCAGCTTGTCTTTGAAAAACACTATATTTCAACAGCTCTATTAGGTAATAGTTTTTTTTTTTCCAAAGGAAAAGTAAAGTTCTAAATGAATTTCATTGTTCACAGTTCTCACAATAAAAAATCGAGTTTCACCTCAAACTGTACAAGATTTTTCTGTTCCAAATTTCTTTTGACTTTGCTTCCTACCAAAGTATACCATTTTTGCTCACACTCTTATGATGCTCCAGGCCTCCTTCCATCTATGAGTCTTTGAGCTGGTATTTCCTCAGCTCATTTACTCATTTTACTCATTTTTCCCCACTTAGTCTCTTCCACTGTAGTATAAACTCAGGCCTCCTAACTTAATTCTTCTACTTGGAACATATTGAATACAGAATTGGCTCTGAGTGAAGACTTGGTAGATTAATATATGATAATATAAGCTTAGAAGCTCTCCTTTTCAGAAATTTGTTCACATTTTGGTCTCAGTTTCCTAAGTCTTTAATGGACGTGAGAATGGAGATGGAGAAGTAAGGATTTTCTGAAGATAGAATGAGCAGCCTGGTGACTGTAATTAACGATGCATATTGTATATTTGAAATTGGTTAAGAAAGTAGATCTTAAAGGCTTTTTTCATAAGAAAATGCTGTTTACTATTAGGTAATATAATTAGTTAAAGTTACTGTAGTGATCATATATGTTGTATATATACCTTAAAGCAATATGTATGTGTGACAACTGTATCTTAATAAACCTAAAAAATCAGAAAGAGTAGTTTTAAACAGTCTTCAAAAATATATGTAGAACTTGTAAGTTTCTACAGTAGTCATTTAGGGGTTCTACTTAAAGTTGATTAGTTCACCATGGTTCTGAGGGCCATACTAGATGCACTGATACCCATAACCCTAAGTTCAAATTCTGGATCCATCAAAACAACCTTTTAACATATTGGATGAGTTTTTAGCAAGCCATAAGTTAGAATTGACCTAGATGTTAGACTTGATTAGTTGCCTAGGTAAAGAAGACAAGTAAATGAAAAAGAAAAGTTGGCAACAAAATTAGTCTAATTTCTTCAAAGTAATGAAAAATGTTAGTGTAAAAAATTTTAGTAGATTTATCTTGCCTTTCATATTAAGTTCCAGAGACATGTTATAATAGTGATTAGGTTAACCTTAACTGGTATAATCTTAAAAAAACTAAACAATGTAAAGTAATCCCTAACTCTTGCATTATGTGAAAGTTGAGATATAGTTCAGTATGGACATTCAGTAAATGACTATAATTTAGAATTTTTGAAACTTTTTTGGTATCATTGGCAAGATTATTTTATGATAAATTCATTTGTTCCTAAAATATTTTTCTAAATATTGTGGCCTCCCTGGTGGTGCAAGGGGTTGTCTCAGCACTGTGAAGCTATCCACAGCCACTGCAAGCATGGCTTTGATCTCTGTCCAGGGAGTGGACCCACATGGCGCAGCTGACTGCCTCTGTCTCTCCCGCTGCTCCTCTTAGCAGTGTGTTTGGGTAGATCTGCCTGCTCTGCTTTCCACTCTGTCTCTGGTGAATCCTTTCACTCCCTTCCCCTGTACCTCTAGCTTACACCCCAGCTCTTGTATACATAAATAAATCTATTTTTAAAAAATTGAAAATGCTTTAAAAATGTTTCTCTAAAATGATAAATGAAGAATATAAAAAGGTTGATCATTCAATAGAAGCTTATCTTTACATGTTAAATGATTCAATTTTTATGCCCTTATCTTATGGGAAATTAGGAAACACATACACCTATGTGTTCTTTAATTTATTTCATGCTGGTGTTTTCATTATCAAGAATTACTAGCTTATCTGTTATTTTATAATTGCCACATAACTTGTCCTTATCCATTTCTTCTCTGTTCTCAAATTTTAATTTTCTCTTGGTTGAACAGGCATAATCATCAAACAGGTTTTGTTTTTATACTTTCAGTAGGAGTTCATGGACATCATGTTCTCTGGTATTTTATTTATTTGGAGCTGTTGTCTTTTTTAACTGAAAGGTAGACTGACTAGTTGTAAAATTCTTGATTTATGTTTTTACCTCTCAGCTTTATAGCTGTAACTCTAGTGTCTTCTAAAGTAGATCAAGTGTTTGTTAGCATTTCCTTTGCTCCTATTCCCTCAACCTCCATGGTCACTCTTCTGTCTGAATGCCTGCAGGATTCAGTCCTTTATCTCTGAAGTTCAATACTAGGTTAAGTCTATTGATTATATTTTCTGGGATAGCATGTTAAATGTGCACTTTCAAATTTTTATTTCAGTTTTAGCTCCCATTAAAATTTTAAATGTTTTTATTTTAATGTATTTTCTCCCAGTAATATCTCAGTTGGCTCTTCATCTAATTTTGTCAGATTTTCTCTGATTTTAACTTTGTGTTTTCCATTCACTTTTAGATTATTTTTCTTATATCTGTTTTTCATTCATTCATCAAAGATTTAATGAGCATTTCAGGCAGTAGGTGGTATGGGTAAAGCAAGGAATAAAATGGATGAGATCCACAAGCTCATAGAATTCACTTTGTAGTAAGGTAGAGATAGACAGGTGTGGGGGCGGGGAAGTGTTAGTGTTTTATATATTTAATTATCAGGAAAGGATTCAATGATAGGATATTTGAGCAGATAACTGAAAGAAACCAGCAAACAAGATTTGTATATCATACAGATACTTGAGAAAGAATAAGCACCATAAGTTGGTAACAGGTTGAAGGCCAGTGACAAGAGTAATAGAAGTTGAAGCACAGAGGTCGCAAGGACACAGTTTGTGTGTAAGGATTTCAGGTCATGGTAGACTTTGACCCTTACTGTGATGTCGAAAACTGGGGGTAATGGATTAACATAGTCCATTTTAGGATTTTAAAGATTTACTCTGATTATTAATTATTATTAATTAAAAATTAAAAAGATTTACTCTGATTATTAATGTCAGATTCTTGATTATGTTTAATTCTTATTCTGCTTTTGTTGTTTCTAAACTTGTGACTATTTTATGTTCCTTTTCTCATTTGTAAACCTGCTGACCCTCATCTCTTTTCATTGTCTTACCTCTTCTCTCTTAGTCCTTGTTTAGGTTTCTTCTTTATTGCAACTCTTTTCAGTTCTCTTTTCAGAGCTTAATTTCTGTGAAGTTCTTATTAGGATCATTTCTTTCAAGTATATCTACTATAACTGTATTTCACTCAAATTTCTCAGCTCTCATATATTTTTGCTCTATCCTAAGCTGGATCCTTTCTGATTCTAATATATTTTTAGGAATATGCTTGTCTCCAGAACAATTGTTTGCTAAAGAATAGTGAGGGTAAAGAATGAGCACACAGTTAGGGTTGTTTCTTCAAGGAGCAAAACTCTACCTAAACCTGTTTTTTCTTGCAGCTGGATATAGCTTCCTTTAGTTCTTGATGCACTATTTGTACTATTTGATGTGACTGGATTCTTAGGTCATAGGTTCTTTGATAGTAATTTTTGTATTGATTCTTATCCTTCACCTCCAGCTGGGTAATAGATTACTCTTTGGTACTTCCTTTATTACCATTACACCTTATTCTTCTGTATTATGAATTTAGAGTTCTATAGAGAGTTTTCCCTATGAATTACCCACACAGTTTTTGATAATCTAAAAAATACATTAATAGGAGAGAAAGCGATAGGTGACTACATATACCCACATTCTCCTTTAGAAGACTCAGTCACCTTG